TCCTGAGACTCTTTCATGGGGTCCATGAAGTCAAATAAATAAACATTTTACCATTTCTCAGTTTTAATTTCTAATACAGTACATATCAGTAGATAAAACCCACATAAACCAACGCTCTTTGGGGTTCTCAATCATTTTTAAGAATGTAAAGAGATCCTGAGACCAAAATGCTTGAGAACTGCTAGTCTGGAGATTTCTAATACAGTACATATCAGTAGATAAAACCCACATAAACCAACGCTCTTTGGGGGTTCTCAATCATTTTTAAGAATGTAAAGAGATCCTGAGACCAAAATGCTTGAGAACTGCTAGTCTGGAGTAACAGGAATTTTGCAGATGTTATTCATTTAGGAAGCTTTACATGAACAGAAGGTCTTGCCAAAGGTAAGCATGGGTCTCCAGAACTGGCATGGGATGCAAAGGCAAGTATATGGCATTGTTGAAGCCTCTAACAGGTTCTTCAGAACGAGAGGAAACAGTTCACTGAACATACCAAGGGATGTTCTGGATCAAACAGATGCTATCTGAAGCATAACCCTGATGTCCTATCCATCTTTAGGTGGACAGCCAAAAAAGATGCCTATTTAACAATGATACTCAAAAATAAACCTAATTGACCACATCATGGAACAAGAACATAATTAAGTCCTTTTTGTTATTACATGAATCACATTTCCACCCAATAGAGTAAGCTAAACAGATGAACATATATAGCAGTATAAACAACATTCTTACAGTTTCTCCCCGTTGTCCTGGGTGCCCAGGCAAGCCATCCTTTCCAGGTGGTCCCTGCAGTGGGAAACAAAATAAATGAAATGTCACTTCCAAAAAACAGATACTCTTTAGTCAGTCACCTTAGTGACACATCTGTGTTTCAAGCTGGCTCTTCAAACTTACTATTCTCTTACTGAGACGGTGGTTATGCTTTGTTGATTGCCTGGGCATGATCTTGGTTGATTATTTGATATGCCCTAATGAGAAGCAAGAACTGGAAATCACTCCCCCATATCTTTGAAGAGTAACAGAGAAAAACAAGTTTTCTTGCAGCTTGACCTGGAAGAGATCAAAATGCTGGAAGGTTTGGGGGAATTTAGCTGATCTAGAATCAGCAAGAGTCTTCTGAGATTCCAAGAACCATTTTCTTAGGGCATCTAATGCCAGGATTTTGGCTGCCTGCTGTAGACAGCTATATTGTATTCCAATATATTGTACATATAATTTATATGTTTATATTTATTATATTCCAGTAGTAATGTATGGCATTGTATGGTAGAAATGGAAGCAGTAACAGACTTCATTTATTTGGGCTCCAAGATCACCGCAGACG